TTCTTGCCACTCTTACATATCATGTTTACTTTCATGCACTATGATATATGTGTGACTGTGAGACTTATGTGACATGTGTGCTCTCTACTTTGATTTATATATGTCATGTCATTTGTTTTTGCTCATTTTCTTTGCTTCTACGTTATACTCCAATTCAAATGAGCGCGCTTTATGTTGTGTACTCATGCTTCATTCATATTCATTTCAGTACATATTGTGGACTTGGTATGCATGGACTTGTTCTAACCCTTGTGATCTTCTTGCCACAAGTTCATGCAAACCAAGCGGTTGAAAACCTCAAATCTCTCTTTTACACATACTCGAGGTGGTGTTGTCATCAATCACCAAAAAGGGGGAGATAATGACGACACAAGATTACTATGACTAACATGTGTTTTGCAGAGGCAATTTAAGTTAGGTCATGGTAATGATGATTGTTTGGGCAATCAATGGTTTTCATGCCCCTATCGATAGAAATCATTTCGGTTTTCAAAGGATGGATGACAAGGTTAAGGATGAACTAGTTCTAAGTGTCATTTGATGTTGGAGTGACACTTAGTATAGTTTAGGACTTTGTTTTTTCCTTTGGTTGTACTATTAAGGGGGGATATGAACTAGTAGCTTGACCTAGGTGAGTCTAATAGTTTAGGTGTGGTGCACACTTGTCAAACTTAGCACTAGGTAGCTTAGGGACAACCCAAAGATCAAGTGGAACAAACCCCGTTCACAAAGCATTTGTATTGGAAGTGATTTGAGGGATTTATTTAGAACTGGACCCTGGCTGATAGTGAGAACCGAACCAAGTCGCTGGGTCCGGAGGACACATGGCAGCCGTGGGGGTGCTTCTCAGCGTTGGGGAGAACCGGACCTTGGCTAGATGTGAAACCGGACCATTAGTCCAAGGTCCGGTTGCTATTGTCTGTGGTCAGGGAGAACCAGACCTAGTGAATAGTCATAGTTCAGACCTGGTGCGCGCTCGGTCCGGATCTGTCCAGAGAGGTTCTAGAGGCATCATTTGAGACCGGAATCGGTCCGGTTGGGGCTTCCGAACCATGCGCTTGGGTTTGGACCCTCAACGGTCAACTCTAACAATAGTGTCGATGTTGTACTGTTTATGAGAATCAGACCCAGGGGGAGTTGGTCCGGTTGCAGGTGGGTCCGGTCTGATTGCTACGCAGAAAAGGGGAATTGTGCCCAACGGTTATGTTTTTTAGTGGGGGTATTTATACTTCTCCTACTCATCCAATTCCCCTCTCTTGCCCATTTGTTCAGCTGAGGAAACACTTTGGAGTGCAAGGGAGAGCAAGAGCCTAGTGGGGTGATTGGGATTTGATAATCCAAGGACCTCATTAGTGCATAGGGAATAGTAAGTGTGTATCCACCTTTCTCATTAGGCTTGTCTTGGTCAAGTGAGAGTTTATTGTTGTTACTCTTGGTGATCACCATCACCTAGATGGCTCGGTGGTGATTGGAAGCTTGGTGATCATCTAGCGGAGCTTGTGGATGACCCAAGTCATGGTTTGAGCGGTTTTCGGCGATTTACTGCGATGGAGTGTCGAAGAATTAGCCCATAGAGAGCACTTGATCCTTGCACGGATCAAGGGGGAGCTACTCCCTTGCGCGGGTACTCCAACGAGGACTAGTGGGGAGTGGCGACTCTCTGATACCTCGGAAAAACATCGTCGCGTTTCTCTTCCTCTCTTTACATTGAGCATTTACATTTGAGCAATTCACTTCATGTCTTTACTTTCTTAGAATTGCCATGCTAGAGTAGTATTGGAACCTGGGGTGCCAAACTTTTGTACGGTAGAACAATAGAGAACACATTTAGGCACTAGGGGTGAAATAGGCTAAGTATGGGGCTTAATTATTGCAAGAAATTTTAGATTAGCCCAATTCAACCTCCCCTTTTGGACATCTTGATCCTTTCAGCCGTTGTTGGGGAAGCCATAAAGGCTTTGGTTCTCTTCCAACCCTATCCTCTTCTCAAGGTTGCTTGCAAATTAGTCATTATCCTAGCGATTCTAGCTAAGCGTTGGATGAGATGAGCACGCTATGATGTACTCCCTCTGTTCTAAATTATAAGTCATTTTGACTTTTTTAGTACATTGAATTTGATATGGATCTAGACATACATTATGTCTAGATACATATGGTCCGTTCAAAAGTCGGTATTAGCAGCTGCAGCCGCCGCTGCTTCTCTAGAAGCATGACACAAGTTAGTGTTTAAACAGTACAAAAATGCAGCAGTTAAACAGTACAAAAATGCAGCCAAACAGACCTATAGCAAATTCGATGTACCAAAAAAGTCAAAACAACTTATAATTTAGAACAGAGGGAGTAGCTCCCAATGACATCGAACACATGTGTTTGGACCATATATGCATCAATGAGCCAAGTTCTGACATCTAATTAAACAGACTACAGGATGTTAGACCAACCTGCACCCACCTAGATAGTTGCCACATTAAATTGGACAAATTACAAGATGTTGGACTAACGTGCACCTGCTTGAGTAGTTATTGTATGGTGAGTGCAATTTACTCAGGTATAAATATCGATACTACTTTTGTAAACCCATTTAAACTTAGAATTATTTGACTCCTTAGAAAATGAAGGGGGCGGCAAAGAGAGTATTATATCCATACAAGAGTATTAAAAAGCGATAATGCTCAGGAGCAAGCGTCCGTACCTCTGGACGTCGCTTTTTGGGCCTGTGCGCTGGTCCAACAGGCCTGCTTTCTCTATGCGTGTCCCCATCTCTCTCTAAAAAATATCTCCCACTCCCGTGCACGCCCATCGCTTTTGCATTGCCATCTTCCCCGCCCTTGGCCACACCCTCTACTTTTGACGGCTCCCCCATCCAGCAATCGCGCTCCATCTGCGCCGCTTCCATCCGTCGTTAAAACAAAATAAGCTGCCACACTCCATCCCTATTGCGCCTACTCTAACTCGCTGCATGCCATGCCCCATCCCCCACACGCAGCCGAGGTGCTACTGGGGTGTTGCCGACGCCGTCGTTCCCCACCGGAAGGTCATGGCCGCTGTCGAAGCCATGGCCACCGCGATGCGCGACCTCAGCAAGGAGATGTTGTGATGAAAGCGATGTTGCAAGCGTATGTTTCAAGTGTTTCAAACGTTTCGGATGTATGCTGCAATTGTTTCACGCGGGTGTTGCAAAACAATATTGGGATGTTGCATATGTTGTAATTGTTTACACGTATGTTGCAAGCTTATGTTCTCAATGCTTCATCTGTTTTTCCAGACGTATGTTACAAGTGTATTTATTTAGATGTTGCATATGTTTCACACATGTGTTGCCTATATTTTATCTAGATGTTGTGTAAGTTTTACAATGGTTTTTAAGTGTTTTTCAAGTGTTTCAGATGCACGTTTCAAGTGTTTTATCTGCCTTCATACGTATGTTATAAGTGTTGCATCTGGATGTTTCAAAAGTAGATCGGTGTTGCATCTTTCTTCTCGCTTTCTGTTGCCTCGCCTCGGTGTCTCCTCCTCCGAGTGCCGGCTAGGCATCCGTCACTCCTTCCCCTCTTCTTGCTGATGACGTTCAGGACGGCGTGAGCCACGCGTGGGCGTGCAAAACGGCACGAGAAACGGTTTGCAAGCCCCGTCCGTCCCGATGTCTGGGCTAGCAAGCCCGATTAAAAAGAACTCTAGTCTATTTGCACCAATAGTGGGCCAAAAGAAAAGCTTGCCTCAAGAGTGATCTATTTGCACCTAAAAATTAGCAACGCCCATCTTATGATATTTTTATATAGATATCCTCCTTGTGCGGACCACTTTTGGGGTGCTGTTCTTTCGAAGAAATGATGCACTTGTAAAACTGTCTAAAAGTTTGACGAGCTATTTAAGGCCCTATTCTGGTATGTTTATGCTAGGTAGGAACTGTACATTTCTTTTCAGCTGTCGAAACTAATATAAAGATGTACTGTTAAAGTGGCATTGTTGATTAGTTCAAGATTTACACTATGTTACTATTTTAGTATATGATTAGTGGCCCTGTTCGGCTTATCTTATAATCCGCACTATTCAGCTTGTTTTTTCAGCCGAAACAGTGTTTTTCTCTTACAACAATTCAGCAAGAACAGCGTTTTTCAGCCAATTCAACCAAGTTTCAGCAAGCCGAACGGGGCTAGTAAGTTAGAAAATGGATGCTATTTGGTAGGAATGTTTCAAATTGTCGATTTTTTGGGATGTTGTCCTTTCGAAGAAATGATGCACTTGTAAAAATGTCTAAAAGTTTGACGAGCCATTTAAGGCCCTGTTCTGGTATATAGTGGTATGTTTATGCTAGGTAGGAACTGTATATATGCATCGAAGCTGAAAGTCTGAAACCCAAAGACCTGAGATGATTTGGTTACTTCCTGCTACCTTCTATACCTAGGAACTGCATTTGCGCTTTTCTTGACTACTAATTAGATTTGAAGAGTCCTGAAGAATCTTGGGTTTTCAGATGCTTTTGTAGCCACTCTTCTGAAGGTATGCAAGGAAAATATTTTGGCTATCGCAGCTGGTTAGAAATGTACCAAGAAATGCAAGTAGCCCTCATAGATATGTTTAGGTGTAAATATATCATAATTCATAATAATAGACACATGTGTGTCGTACGTACATGTCCACTAGTATCCATTCAAGAGTATTAAAAAGAACTCTCGTCGAACGAACTAAAAATAATACTAAAAAAAGCTTGCGAGGAATAGTTCTGCCTAAGCCTAGCAAGCCCTCAAGCTTAGACTCCGACATGGGTGCTCACATATAAGCTGGTTGGTCAACAAGACATTCCAATAAGCCTCGATTCCAATAAATTTGCTCTTTATAATCTCCACGAGGATGAGCACAACCTCTTAGTATATACTAGCCTTACAATGTGCTTATTATCTTTTGGACCCTCCTGGAGTAGCAATGCACTTTTTGTTAATACATGGAGTTTGTTTTCTTTTCAAGCACTGGTGATTTCATTGCTGGGTCACTGATAAAATATGCAAAAACTGCAGCTTCTATCGACACAACTTGAACCTCTCACCGAACAGCAGCTGTCAGGGATAGGCAACCTTCAACAATCTTCACAGCAGGCTGAGGATGCTCTTTCACAAGGAATGGAGGCCCTTCAGGAATCCTTGGCTGAAACCTTGGCTGGGTCTCTTTCGTCTTCTGGATCAACAGAAAATGTGGCAAACTACATGGGTCAAATGGCCATGGCCATGGGAAAGCATGGAACACTTGAGAATTTCCTTCGTCAGGTATTAACCCTCTTTTCCAAATGCATATTTGGCATAGATAAAAGGGTTGACTAATATATTCGAGTTTTATGTGATGGCTGTATCAAGTACTCCCTCTCAAAAAGAATGCACATCTCACTTTTCTAGAAGAAGTCTTTTTTAAGTTTGACTATGACACATGAAAAAAGTAATATTTATTATGATACGTAATAAGTATCATTATATTAATCATGTAATATATTCTTATAATAAACTTATTTAGACCTACAAATATTAGTAATATTTTTTATAAACCTAGTCAAACCTTTTTAAGGTTTGACTTCTCGAAGAAGTGAGTGAGTTATGCATTCTTTTTTTAGGGGACGGAGGGACTAGAGAAGTAGAGAGTGTGAATACGGTGCCTAAATACTGCTAGTTTTCTTTGCTGTATGTATCAAGGCTGACAAACTGCGGCTGTAGACCCTACAACAGATGCAAAGGAACCTGACCACTAGACAGTCAGCTCGGGTGCTACAAGTGATTACTCTTCGCGTCTCCGTGCCGTAAACTCTCTCTGGCTTGCTCGGCCGAAGGAATAACAAGAACAATAGAACATGCAATTTGACTGCAATACTTTTCACAATTTGGTTTTCAATGGTTTATCTTATCAGGAGATTTGACAGGGCTGCGACAGACTTGATTTGGACATACCTGCATACTATATAATCCAAATGGAAGGGGGTGTTCATGTAGCTTAGGCTGCTTAGCCATGTAGTTAACTGTTCAGCTCATGGTTCGTGATGTATTATTACCAACTGCTGTAAAATTCTCACTCTGTATGCCCCTGATTTGCAGCGAAACATTAGAGTGCACATTGATGTTGAATTGATCGGTGGATTTTTGTTCACTCGGTAGGAACACTAGCATGAACATATTGCTTTGCCAGTAACATGTAACCAGGCATATGGCTGATCCACCACATTAAACGAGTGCCAGGAATAAAACAGGGCCAGCATTCTGGTTCTGGTATAGTAATTCCTTCGCATGTGAACACTTGCCCATAACCAGGTAATACTTTGATAGCGGTAATCATATTATATTGGGCACTTTAAACACAAATCTATTGATGCAACTTTTATGCTCTAAACTTTCATACAATTTGACTAATTGTTGGTCAAAATATATAAAGTGACTTTTCTCAAGTCAAATACGATTACCGTTTCTGAATGGAGTATTTGTTTCCACCTTCATGCAGTCTAGTCCCCGTTAACCGATACCACACTAAGCAAAACCGATAAGGCTCCAATCTCAGCTCAATCAGATACCGATTCATCATATGTCCGCGTAATCCTGTTTCCTGTGCGTTTCCATTACCATTTCAGCAACAAACCACCTTCAATTTGATCAATACTTTCAACACTCACTGAACAACTGCAAACCAAGCCTTCAAGTTCAAGTTGCACAAACCACACCTACGAGTTCCATTAAGTTAAAAACAGCAATCCACAAACTTAGATTATTCATGGATAGATCACACCAAAGCAGCATCTGGCCCACATTCTCTTCTATCGACAGAAGTCAGTATGACAGGTTAGACACTACCTAGAGAACTTCCATTGTCTTATGAGCAAAGTTATATCATAATATATACGGATTGGGAGGCGCAGCAGAAGAGCAGTGCCTCCCTTAGTTAAAGCACCAGGTCCTTTGCCCCTTGAGATCTGCTTGCACTGCAGCCCCCTTCACGAGGCCCATGCAAAGTATGGGCAGATCGCCCGCCTCGTGGCTGTCCAGTTTCCGCATCCAAAGAAGTACCTTCCCTGCATGGGTCCTGGCTTGCGCACAACGCTCCACCTGCTCAGCACTCCACAGTAACAGTACATCGCTCTGTCCTTCCCTGCAGAGGTGGCGTATGGGTTAACCTGCACAGGAGATCCCAGCATCTCTTTTGGTTTCTGCTGCTGTTGGACTGGATCTGGAGAGCGGTCGGGGGATAATTGGCAAGTTGTTGACTGTGGAACAGGTTGCCACATAAGTGAGTTGGTGATAGAAAACTTGAAACCCCGGTGCATCATAAGTGCCAGGAGGCGAGCAGTATTGCGGGCATCATCAAGCCCGCAGTGAGCACGCCCCTCCCATGTAAGGCCAGCCAACTGGACTGCCTCCTTGAGGTTGCAGCGGACATCCCCATACACTTCCTGGAAAGGTACCTTCAAGTTGATCCACCTGATCAAAATTTGTTCAAAAGACTTCTAAAATTAGAATAATAATCAAGATACCTTCAGATTCAGATCATGGCCTCAGATGTGCCTCACTCATAATGAGTTCAAAAGTTTCTTTAGCATGAGACGGCACAATGGCGGTAAACAAGTTGATAATCACCTTTAGCATGAAAGCTCCAGATTGTTTAGCTCTAACTGATATGTCTATTCTATACAACAAATAGACATAAAATAACAAGCAAAAAAATATCCAATTGACAATCCAGATCAAATAAGATCGTTACTAAAATGTAGTCTCGCACTAGGTTTATATTACACCAAGTTAAATTATCTGCATATTTCATTATTTCGTTATAGCAGAAAAAAAGTATGCGAGCAATCCTGACATTTTTTTTTTTTGAAAAAGGATCCTGATATTATTGTGAGAAAACATTTCCTGTAAAAATACCAAGGACTGCCCTGAAAAGATCAGCATAATAGCTTCTGATTCAATTTTTCTTTCTAGAATTAGTATAGTAGAGACCCCACAAAACCGCTAGCCCCTGGTTTTGGGTACCCAGTACCAGGGCGACCACTTCACCCCCTATCTCACTTATTACAAATACTCTTCTTTATTGATTACTTTGGAAATCTTAGTATGGACTACATATTCTAAGCATATATATCTTAGGATCACTCCTGGTCATTAAATCCAGGAAGGATGACCGATAAAATGTGCCTTGCATTTCATCGCCTGCTTTACAATGAACTATCGGTACCCAATTCAAGTTAGCATGTATTTGAGCACACTGCACATAAATTTTTGCCATCCTCTGTGTTATGATTATAAGTGTGAATGATACGAGAACGAGAAGATTAGGTGCAGAAAACGTGAGAAACATGGTTATAAGCTCAAAATGCCATGAGAACCAAAAGATTTAGGGCCCCTTTGGAACACAGGGATTTCACAGGAATCATACAGGAAAATCAGTTCATTTTCACAGGAAAAACGCAGAACAGAAAATTTTGTGTGTTCCAAAGGGGCCATATTTCACACTGCAGTAAATTGTATGAAGTGATATTATAACTCAAGGTACATCCTACCATTGCACTATTAATATATCCCAACCTTTTGTGATACATGCAGTAACAGTCTAAAATTTGACTATCCATTTTTTTAATAAAAATACATAAAAAATGTTGTGTAGATATGCCTGAAAATGTCCTTACAAAATACAGAAAATTGAAAATGCCAGCCTATATTTCAGTACCAGTTGCAACACCCTCCTATATAAATTAAAATAGTTCATTTAACACTCCCCACATATCTGCTCCCATTGCAAAACAACACCTTGGGGATTCGAACAGTGGCGAAGGTGGCTAAGACATGCAGATTGGACAGCAGAAAAACCTTACACGGCTCCCCTAATAGGTTGTTTTATTGGGTTGTTGCAATAGTGTTAGGTTTACGGATGGTGCAGGATGAGCTCCAAGGCGACAGAAATGATGCTACATTTTTCATTTAAGTGCAATTTTTGTCACAGGGGTTTCAATTCAATAAGTTATACATTGCATAAAACGGCTTGGGTTTTTATTTTAACTTTGCAAGCTACATGTCCTGCCAAAAATAGAACTATGGGTTTGCAATGCTAGTAGAGATATAGGGTGCTAAATACAGTTTTTCAACTTAGCAGCGTATATTAGAAACAAAGCTACCTTTCGGGGGGTTAAATGAAATTCCCTTGCAAATTATTACAAATTTGTCTATACATTATCATAAAATTCATGGAGATCGAGTAGTGTAATTTATTTCTTTAGATTATTAATATTGTAGAGGTTGGTCAATGCACAACCTGATATGTATATAAGTGTAAATGCACAACTTGACAGGACTCAGAACAACCAGAGTTATAAGTGGTTTGGGAATTTTATATTGACACCATTGACAGGCGCACAGGTTTCATAACATACCAGTACACCACTAACTGTGCACCAACATCAGAGCCTGTCTGGTGTTTGCCATCTAGCTGTACCTGTGCTATGTGAGGCCCTGAAGTCTCCACAAAACCTCTAGCACGAGTAGTGAGCTTGCACACATTTGTGGTGTGAGTATGGTGGGTGCTGGGAAGTGTTACCTTATTGAAAATTGAAGCTTTTGAATTACATAGATAAAAATCCCATTGAAAAAATTTATATTTCAGAAGGTAAGGAGCAACCACAACATGAACCACTCGCCCACTTTTTTGAAAATTGATGTAGATCATCTAACAATCTGGCTCTTATCTATTCAAGCTTGTCAAAGAGGAAAATAAACAGCGCGCATCTTCACTTTTATGTTACAAAGCATGAAAAGATAGAAGATACAGATTAAATTTGCACACTATTACTACCCAGGGCCCTAATTCACACAGTTCATTTAGATATTATAGTATCCAAATGTCATGTATATCTCATGTGAATGAAACATAATGTGGAATTAGGGGTTCGTGACCAGGGCATGACATCATGATCACCTTTAACAAACATATGATCAATCCAACATGTTGCAATGTTCAATAAAATCTACCAAACCCGTGGATGTAGTACACATAAAGTTAGGTAAATCTGCAAAAATTCAAGTTCATTCATCTTTGATACAAGATTTCATCAAACACCACAAGGGATATTGTTACTACATGACAAACAATGCTGGATTGACTGCTTGTCCATTTTGTTTCTGAGCATCAAGGATAAATCTGAAATTGAATTTTTGCAGGTTTATTTAGCTTTGTATGCGCTACAGTTGTGGTCTCTAGATTAACCTTTGAAACATTGCAACATGCCGAATTTGCTAATAGGGATGCCACATCTCTAGCATACAAATTCCACACTCACAACCTACTTGGAAGTTGTGGTGCTCGAAATAAGACAGGAGAAATGAATATCAATGAGATCAATTTGGAAAAACTCGATTTTTTTCCAGTTTCTGCAATTTGTCATCAGTACAGTTCACTGTGTGGCAGAAGACTTTTTGGATAAAAAAATCTAACGCACCAAAATTGGTGGCTAGCGCACTAATTGAAATTTGGAGTGGCAACCCACCAAAATTCAAGTTCAGGATGCCAATTTACGCCAAATCTGCAATTTTCATAAAGCACACGTGGAAGCAGGATAGTAGTCATTAGCATATCCTACATGACCCATAACCCTAAATCTATGATATACACACTGCATCAGACAGTGCACATAATCCATCACTAGAAAGACACAATTTTCCTCAATACTGATCAATAAAAATTGAGAATTCAACTGACTAAGTTATTACCATGTATATACAAGATATGTTACCTGTTAAAATAAGGGGGCTTCCTGATTCTCTTAAATCTGCATTCTGATTCCAGCATTGTACGGCAGTCCCAGTTAGACCAGGTCACAATAGCAAAGTTTGTGTTCTTGATGCCCTTGTCCTCTAGCCACTTATCGTGCATGAGTAAGGCTTCACCTAGAGGCACACCTCTGTCCACCTACACATGCATGGATCGTGTTCATATGACAACAGTAATATTCAAAACTGGCACAACAATAATGCCATGGAACCAGTGGTTTCGCATATCCATTGTGTTCAAAGTGAGATAAAAACAAAGGTACACAAAACAAAGGTGACCTCTTTATTTGTCGACTGGATTTACTATACAAATATTGAACTCCAAAACTCCAACACCAACATTCCAACTAGAAATAGCCAAAATACATAATAAATAATACTATAATAGTAATATTTCCATGAAATAATAGAAGGATTAAATTGATCAGTTAGTAAGAACTTATTATCAGCTAACCTTGAAATGCTTAGGAGCATGCTACATCGTCATCAAATCTAATGTGCTATATTTTCTTTCAGAAGAGGGAAGGAAGACTTCCATATAGTTTAAAGTTTCCTGGATCAATTTCTAGTTAAAAGATGCCTATATGTTACATTGAACACAGTGACAAGTACTTAATTACTTTTTTGTTATGTACCCATCAGTGGCTGGTACAAAACGAACACTATGAATTGCATGATCATAATGGACAATTGTTTCTCTTAGTTCCTTTTTTTAAGACAACTTCCTTAGCTCCTTTTTTTAAGACAACTTCCTTAGTTCATCGTACCATCATTGAATAACATCACTCTACAAATTGCTCAGAAAAGGACACAAAGTACTTGCTCCTCCAGCACCAACTACCACTAATATCCTAAATGTCAAGTATGGGCTACCATGGCTGGCTTCTCCAATCAGCAACCAGCAACTGCTAAAAACTGTTAATTACCACACACAACCTCTTCACAAGGTCCATACTCCATATAACAGCAAATGGCATTGATATGCACCACAAGTCCACAACCAAACCGCAAAAGCTCATTTTGTCAGAAACTAGAAGCACATAGGTTGAGCTGAACTGCTGAAGTGCACACGGTGTCACAATATACGGAGGATTAAAGGCGGCAAGAATTGGTAGCATCTTGAAAGCATGACAAAAAAAAAAAGTCCAAAAGTTCTGTCCCTGAAAAGGGGGCTACTGTTCCACACTAAGGATGGACCCCACAGGCTGCCGCGTCTTTCAAGATTTCCTTAGCAATTTTGGTCACTGTCGCTACAACAAAAAAACAAAAGCCCAAAGGCCCCTAATAAGTGACTTAGGGCTGCTTTGAAGGAGTTATGCATCACCAGCCCACAACTTAGCAAGTTGGCTGACCCTTTTTCCACGGACCCCACGTTGCCCTTGTAGGCGGCATGGGAGCCCACAACTTAGTAAGTTGGCACCAAAGATTCATGTGAAGGGTGCATTGGCAATTCATTAATTCTAGTTCATATTTGTTGTCTTGATGCTATTGATTCATGTGTTAATGACTTGGTGTGGTCAGTTCAGTAGATTAACTGTAGGAACTCAATCAACCAAAAAAATGAAGTTATTCTAACATCTTTATGGAGTAGAGGTACAAATAAACCCTTAGTCCTACGGCTACTAGTTCCAACAGCAAGTGTTGAAAGAGCATTTTTGGCGTTGAATGATTGTTTGATTATATTTATAGAGAAGAAATTTTTCCTACATGATATGAATGAAAACATCTCTCATTTTCAAAAGCCCCCTCATCGACTTCATTTGTAATTTTAGTTAGTTGAGACTTTAGGTGTATGGATTAAAGAACTATTTGTATTTCACCCTTTGCTTTCAGATCTTTTAAATTTTTATATATGACAATGTGTTGGTTATCTATGTACACGCGATCTTGAAATCATGCGTCCGCTACTGGCAGCGACTTGCCCTTGCCCTGCATGGCAGAGGCTTGCCTGATGTGGGACATCGACTTTAACGGCGGCATGAGCAATGACGACGGCGTGTTGACTTAGTAGTGTGTGGCGACACACACCATCACCTTTAACTCTTTCTTTTATTTGCCGTCTTAGCCTAGGTGTGAGCTTTCTAGAGTATGAACATTAATATTTTCCACAAGGTTGGGTACATAAAAACTATAAGTATATATGATTCATTGATTTGTCTTTAGAAACGCTTTCATAAAACTATAGTAGTCAGTATATATAATGACGTAGAGTACAGAATAATTATAGTAGCCAAATTTAAATCTCAAATACCAAAGAAAGGTAATAAAGCTTCAAACAGAAAAGAAGAATGGGAGTAAACTCGCGGAGCACCAGATCATATAGGTCAAAAGGCATCCCGTGTTCCCATATATTAGTAGGAACTACAAGAACTTGAACCTCACCATGTAGTCGCATGATTATAAATTCTGACTGAGTTATACCCAAATTGGTTAACAGAATATTAATTATTTTATTTTTATTCTCAAGCAAATAAAAGGACTTAGCAAATCTTCTTTAACAAATCCAAATGTGAGCCTACATAGGTCAGTCCCGAGTCTTGATTCAAAAATCATTTCAAAAGTAATAGCAAAATCCTCTGAAGAAATTCACTAGCTACCAAGCAGTGCCCTTAAGGAGGTATAAGGAGACGCATGGCAACCTACCCTCTTCACAACACTGTTCTTGTGAGGCGTGACAAGGTAACGCCATACTAACATAAAGAGGAAATGGAGAAAACGAGATGCTAAAGTAGGGAGGAAAGAAAAAGGAGAAAGGGGGAAGGGGAAGAGCAAGATAGGGCCAGCCTGCCACTCCGCCAGCAAGTCCATGACCCTTCCTCTCCCGCCCCTTCCCATAGCCATGGATCACGCCCTCTCTGTAGCTGGCCGCTGGTGCCACAGCCACAAGGGAAACAACTGCTGCTTAGCCTTGCTGGCTGGACCGTGGCCCCACTCATGCTCCTATTCTATGCACTTTAGTCCTTATGGTATCAAGAAATTTTGTTGGTATATGCACCATATGTCCCCATGCATCTAATGTTGTTTCTTTGATTTGTTTAGCCCCTATTATCTCAAATTCCTGGTCCCACCTGTTGCCACACCACACATACAAACTATGGGTCATAAACAGGCCTTTAACTTCGCAAGCATCTAAAGGATGAACATAATCTGCATTTCCAAAGGTAGCTTGAAATTCAGAGTAAACTATTTGTGTGTTTATACAACTTGTTCAATCGAGACTGCATTGAAAATAACTGGTTCCTTGCTTTCTATACACTTGAGTACATATATGACTAGTCAGTCAAAAACACAAAATTCTATTAGCTTAAGCTATCATGATGACACTTATTCAGAACTATGACCTCATGATTATTCAGATTATGCACTGACCTGAATCTGCTGTATGCCAGTAAGCTCCTTGCAAAAATCGGTCAAAAATTGATGATACGTCGGCCGAACATATGTCTGGAAGCATTCTTCGAGTTTTCCAGTTGCACTGTTAACCAAGACAGATGGAAACTCAATGATTTCTTGGGGAAATGGATTGTTCACCTTGTCACAGGTTGCTTCAAAGTCAATAACCACGAAATGCTGAAATTCCTGAAGCTGTGCATCATGGGGGTGACCTTGAGGGAGCATCTTGAATGGAAGATACTGAACTCTGTTCTCAATAGGGAAACCGTGGTCCCTATTTATCTGATAAAATTGGTTGTCAAAACCATAAGGTAGTGGCTGACGCACCATTTGATAATCTGAATAAATATATGGCCAGGCATAAAATTCTTGTCTGTAGAAGGGCCTGCTAAGGCCTTGATTTGGAATAGGAGACGCCTCCCAGATTTTTTCCACAGCAACAATATCATTCCTTTTTTCATTATTCTCAGGAAACCCTTCAAGTCCACCTCTCTGCTCTGGAGAGTTATACTGAGAAATATTTGGCTTGAGGCACCCTAGTGGTGCCTCATTATTGACTTGCATTTCCTCTGCATCAAATAAACTACATACATAAGAAAATGATGAAACAGTGCAATTAAGATTGTGAAATAAAACCATGCATGAAGTCAGAACATTTAATATGCATATAATTAAGGTTGCGACCAGATATTTAAAGATTCAACCAAAGAAAAAAATAATACCAAGAATAGAAAGGCATTGTTAGGGCAGCTCCGACAGTGTTGCAAGAGAGGTGCAAAATAGAGATGATTGCATCTCTACTATAATTAAAAAGCAAAGTTTGAATTATGTCCTAAGAAAGCGCCTTAAGCTAGAATAGGCACCGATGCAAGGGAATCAAATTTTGTAGGGCCCGCCTTTTAATGTTGGTAGTCTTTATGGGATGAGAGAGGATACAACTTTTTGCTTTCAATATCATTTTGGGTGGATCCTATTCCAAAACCAACTGAATTTCTAAACGCTGGAGAAATTTTGCCAAGCTAGCACCCTTCATATGGGTCCTACGTTTGTAAGAGATTGTTCTAAACACTAAAGTTGCCCTTGGTACACCAAGGCCCAAGCACATATGGCTGACAAAGCAAAAGGAAAGTCAAAAGAATCATAAAATCAAAGTCAACTGTAACAATGACTGGTCCACAACACAAGGTTTGGTGGCTAATATCTAGCAGCAGCTTCTATCACAAAAGGTAATTGATGAGTTATGCTGTGATCCTAGGTGATGTTTCAAGTATTTGAACTATAGTATGTTAGCTAAAGCTTCAGCTTTGTCAGCAAAATATGTGAGTTTTGTGAAGCTTTGATCCAGAGCTTTACAATTTTTCTGGAGGCATCCAAAAGTTTCTGTTCAATGTTACAAACATCAGGTTAAGTTTAGAAGCACAGGTCAATTGTTAAGCGCTCAAATAAAAAGGATCATTTGGATCATCATGGGGTTATCAAAGTATTTTGGAAGGAGTAGCATAGATATGTTGCGGTTCCCACCTATAACATTTGGGCCAGAAACTCATTGAAACAGAACTGCTACTGATCCTTTTGTAGGAAACACGACAAGAGGTAGAAGCAGGGGAATTCTGGACCTCAAAGCAATGAGCAATGCGTTCCGAAAGGGGCTACATGTAGTTGCTAATGCTGACAAACTGCTGACTACTCCCTCCGTTTCATTATGTTTGTCCACAACCCACCATGCACCCAAACCATGAGAATATTAGATCAAGCAAAAAAAACATTGTGAAATGACCACCCACATCGCTATTATATGACACTATACAACCAATTTCCCTATCAAAGAAAAAAAAAGTACTATAAGCAGCTACACTTCATATCAATTTGTGTCAACGCACACCCAATAATTTTTTTGAGCATAGTATGCAGTTTTCACAAACTGCAAGAATCGCATATATTAAATTAACGCACTAAAAGCTAAGTGGCATAGCAGTTAGCAAAGAGGACTTCATATTGCTAATGCTTGTTCGGCTGCATACAGGGTTAAGCAAAATGATTTGAAACAACCAATTCAAACATTCATCCAAACCCAGTTAAGTTACCACATAATTCTGAAATTAAAGCATGGCGCTAAAAAACACTAAAGCCAGCACATTTCCCCCAAATCAATACAAAGATTTTGCTGCGTATGGAAACTCAAGAACACTTGTTTGCATGAGAAATCATCCTCGGGACAGGTTTTAGTGCAAGCTTCTTTTAACATGATGCAGAAACTACACTACTAGTGCTAAACATCATAACAAATAAACAAGGACACTCTGATGAAATCAGTGATAGCATAGTAGCAGCAAGCCAGCAAGACAAAAATTATTAAAGAACATTTCAGATAACCATTAGTACAAACTGACTTCAATGTTGCCACCTATTTTTTGGATGCTTAGTAGCCTCTTAAATGTGGATGGAGCTAGCTGAAGTGTTGCGACTTTAAATCAGATGCAAAATGTTGGATCTGTGAGAAAAGGCATATGGGGTGCTAAATGTGTTTAGCTCTGCAGCGATGTGGGGCCTTTTTGGAAGCTCAGACATTCTATGTGTTTTCAGGATGGCATATGGTGCGTTATGCAAAAGTTGTAGCGTTGGTCAAGTCTTGGGAGTAACTGTGCCCCACTCGCCACCTACAGCAGTTCAGAGCTGTCGCTATCGACTCTGGTGACCAGACCAGCAAGAGTTACAATGGATGGGGCATGATCAATGATGAGGAACCAATCTGAGCATGGATGATACCTTTGGTTTTCCTAGCATGGTTTACTTTGCATAGCCTTGGACGTGGTGTTCTGTGTGACATGGGCTATGTTTCTTTTATATACAAACTTTGAAACTCCGATGGGTGTTTTTGGTAGGGGTGTCGGATGTGGCCATTGATCTGTTGGTATGTAACAAACCTGAAATGTTATTATGGTCCTGAATGTAATGCTGATGGACCAGGGTAAGCCGCTGGAATTCTAAGAAAACTTCAATGTTGCCACCAAATCAAATGACTGGTGTTGCTTGAAATCTATAATTAAGCATAGCCAAAGGGGGATATCTTTTAATGGCACAACATATCCCCATTAGCAGTGAGCAGCAACGTAAAATTATCCCTACCAAACTTGCACTCAAAACGCAAGAAGCACTACATTCAGTGAATTCCATCACATATTATGCTACCATCAGTTACCAATCCCAACAGCACCAGCTCTCAGACCAGCACACAACCAAACTCACCAAACTCTGCTCACCAAACTCTGCAGCAAAATAAACCACCTCCGTGCACAATGGCATCTCTAGTATAGCATTTCACGCAGTTACTGCAACTTAAATATCTACACACTCAGTGAGACTGAAAAGACCGGAGCCCCACACAAAGAAAGAGAGAATTCCGCTGAAAACCCACGAAAAATCGCATCTTTTCGCCACTACCACTCGCAAGACGCGGCCTTCGATACTGGAAATGGCGTTACAGAGCAAGATCTAGGGTGAGAGATCTCTGACCTGCTCGTTCGCGATCAATCATGGCCGTGGGCGATCCCGCGGCGCTGCACCATCCGGATCAGAGCTCCCCCGGCGCCACACGACCTGATCTCCGAGGGGGGAGAAAGAAAAAGAAAAAACCACCAAAAGGGAGCACGGCAAAAGCAACAGATCAGAACAGAGGACGAGTAGATCGAGCAGTAGAGAGGTAGGGCGGCAGGAGATCGAGCGTGGGATAGGGCCGGCAGACGTACATGTGACAGCGAGAGCCGGAAGGAGGAGGGGGCGGAGGAACAGAGCGGCGCGGTCACCACGCGATGACGAACCTCTCCTGCTCCTGCTTCCCCTTCCCTTCTCTCCTCACACAGCCGCACGGAGACGGGGATCGGATGCGCACGCCGAACAGCGCGCAATGGTGGGGATCCAATGGCTGGCTGACACGCGTGGTTTCTCTTACTTCTGGAGTTCTGGTGGCGGTTACCGGCGGTGGCGGCCCAAGGAACCCGTGTTTGGTAGAGACGGCGACCAACGGGCCGCTGCGTTATCTTTTCTTTCTTCCCGAAAACGTAGCCCCTGTTTGGAAATATCAGCGCTTTGAAACAAAGGAACTAGAGCATCTCCGAGGCTTCCCTAGATATCTTCTGATTCTTGTTTTTTGAAAGATGGGAAAAAAATCATCTCTAATAACTTCTAATATTTACTCTTAATCTTTTAGGACTTGAAAAATTCCTCTCCCTTCCACGTAACTTTACGCGGACGAAGCCACGCGCGGAGACGTCGTTCCCGCGAAGTCCTTCGCCTCCCGCGCCGACGGTCAGCACCCACGGCGCCTCGTTGGCGACGGAGCTCCACGTCGGCCCGTTGTTCCCAGCGGCACACACGACGGAGACGCCACATGCCGCGGGCTCGAAGCTGCCGATGGCGATCTTTGTCCTCGAAGAGCGGGATGGGGAACCCGCGAGAGAGGGGACAACACGACGCGTCAGCCGTCGCGCGCCGCCGCGTCGTCATCCCGGCGGCGATGTTGGAGTTGTAGCGACCGTTGAACCAAAGACACACTTTTTATGCGGCGACGCGTGCGTCTTGAAGCGCCGCCATGCCGCTCCTCCCGAGCCCGGCGCCAGACGCCGGCCCGGCGGCGACGGCCGCGCCCGCCACCGTGGACGCTGTGGTGCGTGCGTCTGCGTGCCGTGCCCGCGCCCGTCCGCGGCGACATCGTACTCCAGCAGCAGCGCCGCCGCTCAAGGGTTGGTCGGGTAGTTGGCGCGGTGGCCCTTGAGTAGAACCACGCCCGATGAGCTTCCGGTTGCGATCGAGGAGGCGTTGAAGTGCTCCCGCCCTAGCACATGCCGCCCACCGCAACGGCGCCGGCGCATCCCACGATCGTCGGTTGGGGTTCTCGGGCCACACGCCGATGTCGAGCACCCCGATGATGGTGTCGTGGCCGCATTCCGCATTCGCGCCCACGCGCCGGTGGGTAGAAGTTGAGCCCCGAAGCGGCACAGTAGGTGGTGTGGAGCTCCACCCACCGATCGCGCAAGACCGACGCGACGCCGGATCGCACGCAGCATTGCCAGCCAGCCTTGCCATCCATGAGTCGCAGCGTAGTCGTCGAACACAGTGTGGTAGGAGTAGAGGAGGGGCACTTCTCTTGCTCCCACGCCACGGACCTCTCAAGGAAGGAGAGGTGCCAGTCGACCTTCGACTTGGAGGCGGAGAGCATGGCCTCGCCGTTGTCGCCCTCGTCGTGCGGGTGCAGCTGCACGATGTAGGTCTGCATTGTCTCCGTGGCGGCACACATAATTCATGTGGGCCTCAAATTTGATTTTTTAGATGCCATTTATTAGAAACTCTTGGAGATGACCTTCTTTTTTCCTCCCCAAATCTTTTTAGGAATTGCCAAACTACAAGTTTTTAGGAAAAAAAAGTAGGAAACTCTTGAAGATGCTCTTACAAAAACACATGAGTGAGTAAGAAAAACATACACAAATGAAAAGCAACACTTGAAAGCTTAGAAAGATGTCTTTGTTAGTGATGGATATAATTTGCTCAAAAAAAGATGATTGATATGG